GCGGGGCTGGGAGAGCGGGCAGAGGATGGGGCCTGCCGGGGGTCCCCCATCCAGCCCTCCTCCCCCACCCCCTACTTACCAGCTCCGAGTCCGGGTCCAGCTCCTTGCTGCAGTGGGTGGGGACTGCCCGAATCACTGAAGCTCTCCAAATCTTTTCCAAATTGATTCAGAGAGCTTCAAAACAATTCGAACCTTTTAATTGGTCCCCTGATTTGATTTGGATTTGAAGATTCGGCCACTGAATTGGGCCGAATCTCCTCTGAATCGAATCAGCACCCAAAGCTTCGCACAGCCCTAGGTGGCAGCAGTATGGAGAGCGTTTTAGGAGACTTGGTGGATCATAGACTCGATACGAGCCTATAGTGTGACACAGCTGTACAAAAGGCAAATGTGGTTTTGGGGTACATCTATAGAAGCAAGAGGTGCAAGAAACAGGAGGTTCTACTGCCTCTTAACTTGGCACTGGTTAGGCCTTATCTAGAGTATTGCAGGATGTTTTGGGCTCCACACTTTGAAAAAAGACATAGAGACATTACAGAGGGTCCAGAGGCAGGCAACCAATATGATAAAGAGCTTGAAAGCTGAAAAAAAATGTTCAGCTTGCAGAAAAAATGATTAAGAGAAGATATAAGATCATAAGAAAGTAGGGCCAAAGGGACTTCACATGTTCATCTAGTGCAACCCTCTACTCAAGACAGGATCATCCTAGACTAGGCCATCCCACCCAGGTGTCTGTCTAACCTGTTCTTGAAAACTTCCAAGAGTGGAGATTCCACAGTTTCTCTAGGTAGCCTGTTCCAATTGCTGACCACTCTCATAGTCAGAAAGTATTTCCTAAACTATAGCCTAAATTGTCCCTGCTGAAGCTTAAGGCCATTTCTCCTAATCCTATCCCCTGCAGCCACAGAGAAAAGTCCATCTCCATCCTCTCTGTAATTGCCCTTCAGGTATTTGAAGACTGTTATCAAATCCACTAAATCTTCTCTTTGCCAGACTAAATAATTCTTGCTCTTTCAGCTTTTCCTCATATATCCTGTCTCCCAGGCCCTTAATCATTTTTGTTGCCCTTCACTGGACTCTTTCCAATCTGTTGACATCCTTCTTGAAGTGCAGGGCTCAAAACTGACACAGTAGTCCAGGGGAGGCCTCATCAATCCTGAATAGAGTGGAAGAATCACTTCCCTTAATGTGCAAGTGATACATCTGTTAATACAACTCAGAGCGCATCTATATATGCAAATAATTCAGGAGCAGTTTATTCTCAAGTAAACTACTCGAGAGTAAGCTCTCCCGGGCACTAGTCTACACATGCAAGGATGCAGGATCAGATCTGCTGCTCTTAGCAGCAGATTGCTCCTACTCCCTGCAGCAGGCCCTTTCAACAGCCAGCTAGGCTAGGGTTACCATATGTTCGGGTTTTCCCGGACATGACCTCTTTTTTGGTCCCCTGTGCTGTGTCCGGGAGGGTTTTTAAAATAAGAGCAAAATGTCCAGGTTTTTTGCTGTTCCTCTGCCCTCCTGGGCCAGTTGCTTTCAGCTGGGAGCAGCAGGCAAGGTGATTGGCTGTTGGGGGGGTCACATGCCTCTGACAGCCATTCACCTTGCGGGAGAGCAGAGGAACAGCAAAAAACAGACAGGGGGAGGGAGGAAGGGAGGGGCAGAGTGAGAAAGCAATGCAAGAGCTGCTTGAGCAGCAGGGCTGGGAGGCAGGGGGCTGCGGGTTGGGAGTGAGGGGCACCGGCAGAGTTTAGGGGGGCAGGGGCCACAGATTGGGGTGAGAGGTACTGCCTGAGCTCCTGGGGGGCTGCAGGTCAGGGGTGAGGGGAACCAGCAAGGCTAGGGGGCAGGAGGCTGCAGGTCAGGAGTGAGGGGCACTGGCAGGTCTGGGAGGGGTGCAGGGATCTGCGAGTCTGGAGTGAGGGGCACTGGAAGGGGGGCAGGGTCTGCAAGGTGGGAGTGAGGGGCACCGCCAGGGCTGGGTAAGGGGCAGGGGGCTGCGGATTAGGAGTGAGGGGCACAGGGGATGGGATGGGTGACTGCAGGTTGGGTGTGCAGGGCGCTGGCAGCACCAGGGGGTGTGGGTTGGGAGTGAGGGGCACCAGCAAGGGGTGCGGGGCAGGGTACTGCTGTTTGAGAATAAGGGGCACTTGTAGTGCTGGGGTCAGTGGGTCTGGAGCGAGGGGCAGCAGTAGGGTTGTGGGGGGTGGCCTGTCAGTGAGGGGCAACAGAATGGGCAGGGGTAGGGCACCGGCATGTCACTGTCCCCCCCCATCATATTCCTGCCCCCACCCCGCACTCTCCATGACAGGTGTCCTCTTTTTTGGATCTGAAAATATGGTAACCCTAAACTAGGGTCCCTCTGGGTGTTAGCCCAGGGACCAGGAGACAGCTGTCTCCTAACAGGGGCTGGGACATTGCTCCCTGACCCAGGAGCTGCCTGCTGCAAAGGCAAGCTCTGTCACTGGAACCCGGGCAAGGACAATGTCCCTCTGCCCTGGCACCAGGGAGTTCCCAGCCCCCACTCCGTAACTGCAGGATTGAGACTGGAAAATAAAGATATCTTAGCCTGGGCCCAGTGACCACAGGACTTGGGCTGGGAGATGAGGATCTCCCAGTGCCAGCCCCACAACTGTGGGGCTAGGGCTGGGAGATAAGGATATCCCACCTCTGGCCACGCGATCATGGAGCAGGGGCTGGAAGCTCCCTGCTGCCAAGCAGGGGGACATTGTCCCAGCCTGGGCTAGAGTGGTGGAGCCCGCCCTGGCAACAGGCAGCTCCCTGGGGCAAAAAGCAATCTCCCGCCCCTTGCTGCTTGGAAGCACATTTGCTCTGGGTCACACATCTATACATGTGCTACTGCACAGTTACTAATCACAAGTAAATTTGCTACTTGCATTTGCAGGTAGCAAGTTTACTTGCGATTAGAGCTAATTATTGCACAATAAGCATCTGCACATGTAGATGCTGACACTTACCGCACAGTAAAGCATCTTGTGTATATGTGCCCAGTATTATGTTGGCCTTTTTTGTAACAAGAGCACATTGCTAGCTCAAATTCAGTTTATGGTCAACTGTAACCTCCAGGTCCTTCTCTGAAGTACTGCAGCCTAGCCAGTTATTCCCCAGTCTCCTTTTGTACATGCAATTATTCTAAGTACAGGATTTTGCAACTGTCCTTGTTGAATCTCATTTGATTCATTGTAGACCTTTTCTTTCCTGAAGTGTTTGCAATTCCACCCTACTTGGTGTCATCCACAAATCTGTGAAGCATGAACTCAATTCCATTGTCCAAATCATTAATGAAGATATTAAACAATACCTGACCCAGGAAAGAGCAGTTGTCATGTACCTGAAGGGCTGTCAAAAAAAGAGTGAGAACACCTTTTCTCTCTTGCTGCAGAGAGCAGGACATGGACCAATGGCTTGAAGTTTCAGCACAGTAGGTATGGATTGGATATCAGGAAAAACTTCACTGTAACAGTGAGGAACAGACTGCCCAGGGAAATTGTGGAATCTCTATCACTGGAGGTATTCAAGAATAGACTAGATAACCATTGGTCAGGGATGATCTGGGAGTAGCTACACCTGAAGTGCTCTGAAAAGAGCAACAGTTGGAAGATCTAGAGCCCGGCTCCCCTACCTGCCCGTGGCTTGCTGGGAGATAATGAGAAGACCTCTGTAGCCTAAAGCAGATATACACTGGAGATGACTATACTCAGTGGCAGGAGGATGAAACAAACCTCTTTAGCTAGCTTAGTTAGGAAGGAAGTTAATGGAACTCTTCTCTGTACACTCCCTTTCTTAAAAAACAATTCTTAAGTAGGAAAAAAAATGTATCGGACTGAGAATAGGTTTCCCTAGAATTCGCAGGACCACTTCTTATTACGCTAGATACCACTTATGTAAACGTTAAGGGTGTCACAACCCAAGGGTGTGATTGTGTGTGTGTGCGCTTCGGCACTGCTAAATTATTTCCCGCCACGAGGAGCTTTCTTTGCAAGGTGCATTTCTCAGTTGCAAAGAGAAAACCCCGGTGCAAAGGAGTTCCCGCCACCCGCATGCAAATTTGTGCCCCACTATTGGCCAGTTCTAAATTATTCCCACGTGGCGGCTAGCGATTGGCTTGCTAGCCGTATAAGAGGCTTGAGCGGTTTCTGCCCAAGTTGGAGGACTCCACAACTATCAGGAGGAGGAGAACTTCACGTCTCGTGAAGATCTCTAAGCGCTGCGGAGCCTATTGGACCCAGCGTGTACCTTGAGAAGGCTATAGGGGTCTGATCAACCTCTGGCCTCTCCCCGTCGCCGAACGATCCCTCGACGAACCCCTTCCCTGCGCGCAAGTTCCACGGAGCCTAGCAAACTTCATGTGAGTGTATCCAGAGCTCTTCTCCGAGTTGTTTTCTTTGGTTGACACGACGGGCTCGCGTGTTTAGAGCCTTCAACCGGATTGGGCTAGAGGTTCGCGTGGAAGGAACTCTTGTCTGCTTCTCTTCTTTTCTGTCTGTAACCGCAACTCAAGCAAGTTTTCCTGCCTGCACCGCGACCATCTTCGGTGTAAGTAAAATAATCTTTAATCAACCGCTAAGCGTCCATGCCTAATTCTAGTCCGCCAGCCTGCATTCCCCGACCCGCGTGCCAGGGCTGCTGGCCACAGCCCGCCGTGCGCCCCCGAGAACCTCGGACCGCTCCTGGCCCGCACAAAGGGTACCTACACACATGCCTGATGCTTGCTCCAACACGTGCTACTTAGCACATGTTGGAGCAAACTTGATTAACTGAGTCTGCTGGCATCCTGTGTATTCACCATCCCTGTGCTTCAAAATGGTAATGGGGGTGCTTTAACTAAAGCTTGTTGAATGAGCTGTAGCTAAAGTGCCCCCCACTGCCATTTTGAAGCAAGAGATGCTAAATACATGAGATGCTGTGAGCGCTTTAATTATAGGAGCTCCCAAGAGCCACTGTAATTAAAGTGCCCACCTCCCACCCCACCCCAGACCATGTCAACTGGGGTTCCACGTCCGGCTATCAGAGGTACTTTGATTGAAAAAGGTTGAAAACCCCCACCCTAAGATACGACTTTGGTAAACAGAAGCCAGATTATGGAAATGCATTAGCCAGCCAGAGCTCAATCAGAAAGTTGCAGGGATGGTATTGCTCTTTAAACCTTCCACTGCGCTCCTAGATTACAGCCATGCAGCTCATAACGCAAAAATTCCAACTTCAGGAGCACCAACTATGATAACCTAGTCTGACAGCCTATGTCAAACAAACCAGAAATTTGATCCCATGATTCCTGTATTGACACAACTCCAGCAGCTGAGCTGGAGCAGATCTTTTAGATAGAAAAGTTCACTCTTGATTTAGAGGCTCCAGGTGATGGGCATTAATTATAAAGCTCTCAGTGTGTTTGCTGAAAGATGCTGTGGTAACGAAAAGATTTCTTATTGCTTTCAGGAATCCAACTTCTGGAGCCGGCTGTGTGACAGCAATTTAAGTATCTACCAGACTAACTTGCCTCTATGAGTGTCAGCATTCAGAGGCACAGTCAGCCTGGCAGATACTTGGGGCTTTGTTACACCTTACACTGTGAGCCATACAAATGCTGATGGGTATTAGTGCTAGCATGAGTTTGGAACAGTCACACTTCACGCCAGCAGGGGCCTGAAGGACTGAAAGGTAACCCCCCCTCTCATTCCAGGCTCCCCCAGTTTCCCTTCAACTCTGGGACTCCACCCTGCCTCTCAGGATGTCACAGAATCAAACAGGGGCGACACATAGGGGGTACACATGGGTGCACATGCACCCCCTGTGCGTGGCGGCGCATGCCTTGTAAAAAGGCACCACTGACACTGTCAGCAGCACCTGTGGGCAGTTGTTGCTCGCCACCCCGCTGCTGGTCCATGATCGCCCCTGGTCACTGCTACCGGCGGTGCCTGTGGGTGGTTGCCGACTGCTGGTCGGCGCTTGCCACCCCCCCGCCCCAGCTGCCGACAGTGCTGGCGGCATTTGCAGGAGCTCCCCACTCACCACTGCTGGGCTCCCGCTACCACTGGCACAGCTGTGCCCCCCCACCCGCCGGGGGCACGCGCTGTTCATGGAATCAAAGAAAATTAGGGTTGGCAGGGACCTCAGGAGGCCATTTAGTCCAGTAGTCCTCAACCTTTTTTGTACCAGGACCAATCTGCAAACACCAATGGCCAGTCCCAACCCAGTGCCCCTCACTCCCAACCCACTGCCCCCTGTCCCCAGGTCCCAGCCCCATAGTGTGTGGGGCAGGAAGTGGTTGTATGGGGCACAGTGGGGTTTGTGTGGGGCAAAGGGGGCCCCAAGCAGCCCCTTGAAGGCTGGAACTCTGCCAGTCTGCGAGGGAAAAGTCATGGTTTCCCACGTTTTTCTCCTTTAAAGGAGAATCCATTTTTAAAGTTTGCTCACTACCCTTTCATATATTTTTGCAACCCACTTTTGGGTCGTGACCCACGGGTTGAAAAATGCTGGTATAGTCCAACCGCCTGTTCAGAACAGGACCATCTTTCCAACTAGATCATTCCAGCCAGGGATTTGTCAAGCAAGGCCTTAAAAACCACCAAGGATAGAAATTCCACCACCTCTGTAGGTAATCCATTCCAGCGCTTCTTTACCCTCCTAGTAAGAGAGTTTTTCCCTAATATCCAACCTAAACTTCCCTTGCTGCAACCTGAGACCATTGATCCTTGTTCTGTCATCGGCCACCACTGAGAACAGTCCAGCTCCATCCTCTTTGGAACCCCCCTTTCACGCAGCTGAAGGCTGCTATCAAATCCCCCCATCTCCTCTTTTGTAAACTAAATAAGCCCAGTTCCCCCAGCCTCTCCTCAGAAGTCATGTGTTCCAATCCCCTAACCATTTTCCACTTACCTTGCCTCCCCCTGCCCCTGAAGCATTATTTACTTATGGCTGCTAAGCTATCTATCCCAGGGAATTAGGCAGGAAAGGGTTCACCTGCCTGGCTGCTGCTGTTGCCAGGGTGCTACTTGCCTGGCCCAGAGAGCAGCAATGGTGTCAGCTGGATGGGCAGGTTAACATTTCCCTGCCTGCGCCATGGGACAGACAGCACAGGTAGGCGGAGGGGGGGCAACAGGGAGAAGAAGGCAAGTGGGGGCAGGGATCTGGGGTGAATAGGGTGGAGGGAGGGGGGAGCAGTGGGCCCGACCTGGGCCAGACCTGGGCCAGTAGGTGGGCGGGTGGGGTGTTTACACCAAGGCAGTGGTTTTCAAACATTTTTCATTTGCAGACTCCTAAAAATTTGGAATGGAGGTGTGGACCCATTTGAATTGTAAGTGTAGGTATTCACATACCTTTAATTGGTCACAGTTATCTTTTGCGGACTCCTTAGTCATAGTCAGTAGACCCCCAGAGGTCAGCAGACCACAGGTTGAAAACCACTGCACTTAAGTGTAGCCTAGCCCAGCTGCATCTTAGTGCAACAGGAGCTCGGTAGAAGGGATCAGAGAGAATCATCTCCTGGAGGGACATCACTTTGAGCCACATGATGATGAGTGCTGAAAACCAGGTGCTAATGTGCAGACCAGTTTCAGCTGCTAATGTGCAGACAGTCTAGGGGTTTAGAGCTCCAGGAGCCACCCAAAATTACCATGTAACAAGGCCCTTAAACTGTGCTTAAATTAAAACCATAGTACCGCAGAGGCAATGTCCGGTTAAAAACAGACATCTGGTTTGTCCTGGGTCTGATGATCTCCAGCTTTGATTCACATCAGAAGGAAGGCAGGGGGAGAGGAGAGAGGGGAATCATTTACATATGCATCTTGAATGACAATTAACTTTAATTAGCTGCAATTGTCCTGGGAAAAAAGTATTATGTTGGGAAATTCAGCAGTACTTCAGAAGTATTTAAAGTGGGACAAAGAGCTTTTAAGACTTAGATCCCAGAATAAAAGGCTTGATCAGAGGAGAAACCCATGTCTGTCTTTAGCTTTTGATATCAGAGGGTCTTCACATCATCCTCACTTTGCAGATAGTACTATGGTCCCATTTACCCTGGAGAGGTTTTCTGACATGGCTTTTACCAGTTCCCAAAGGAAATAATCTATTCCAACAAACAGACTTTTTTCTGGTGTAACTGGAGCTTTTGCTACTTTAAAAATGCGAGACATGACATTCCTAACTCCCATTATTATCCCAGCTGTAGGGCTAAACAGACTTCATTATGAATAATCCCTAGTACAGTAGAGTCTAATCTAAAATTTGGACTGGGGTTTCTAAATGCCACAAATAATAACTGAGGCCCTGAAAGGTGAAGTGACCTCCCCAGGGGTACAGAATGAGCTTATGGCCGAGAAACAGAACCTTGATTTCCTGGCCCCACAGTGTTGCTCTATAATCACCACAAATAGCCGGGGATCAAGAAACACAGTGCTGGCCTCCCGAACCCAGTCTTTTACCTAGTACAACAGCAGCGATGGTGAAAAGGACGAAAGCATTTCTCCTGAGAAAGCCTTTGGCATTGTCCTTAGTGATAGTGGACATCCGTTTCTTGGCCCGCGCTGTCCGCTTCTGCACTGCCTGCTGGAAGTGCTGAATCCAGCCCTCACTGCTGTGCTGCTTGGTGGAGTCCTCGTTCAGGAATAGGCTGTTCACGCGGCCCTGCTGTTCACTCATAATCACCTTAAGCACCAGATCCAGGAAACACGACTCTTGGGAAACTGGGAAAGGAGAAGCAGAGGAGAAAAAAATGAGATAAACTGACACATTTTCTCAACTTTGATAACATGCCTCTGGCCCCTGTGTAATTCTAATTTCTAAGACTGGAAAACTACTCTAGAACCGAATGGAGCTAAATTAGAAAGACACTGAGTCTAATGAGCTGCCAGGGCTCCAAATGATTTTGATTCAGACCCCGACTAAAACGCTACAATACTATCACTTCTCCCAAGAAGCAGTGGGCTCATGCAGCAACAATACCTCAGCAAAGAAACTACGTTTTGGATTGGGGGAAAGAAGAAGCTTGATACTAGATGGAAATGTTCACTCATTTTTAGGAGAATCTGCCAGTTTGGATAATGAGGATCCACCTGAATTAAATTCAGCTGTAAGCAAACTGTTCTATAACTTCACAAATAAGCCAAACTTCTTAAATTTGCCTGAAGAGGAACTGTAAGTTTTTCTGCCAAAAACAAGTTCTTCTGAATACATTAAAACACACTTTTTATTCGCACACTTTCCTTCTAGCTCCATGACTTTTGTATTCTAGTCTTCACAATGGCCCAGGTTCAATAGGAACAGTAGAGTGTATCCACTCAGACTATTCTATAGCCTGATGGTTAGGGCACTCTGATAAGTTGGAGATGTGGGTCTGAATCTCTGCAGGCTGAAGAGGTCCTGGAATAGAAGTCTCCCACTTTGTGGATGAGTGCTGTAATCAGTAGATCACTGGGTAAAAAATGGATACCACTCCCTGCTTTTTGAGCAAAAGTGGTTCTGTTTTGTACACTAAATTCAGTTTTGCCATGAGTTCTCCCTTCTCAAGAAACCATTGCTTGATGCTTGCCCATCCAGTTATTGCCCAATCTCCAACCTCCCCTTTTTGCAGAAGGTCACTGAATGGGTGGTAAGCCAATAGCTCCAGGTGCATATGGATTCCACTGGTTTCCATTAACCTTGTCAGTCTGGTTTTAGTCCTGGATAAAGCACAGAGACAGCGGTAATGGCATTGGCTGATGACCTTCATATGGAAATCAGCAGGGCAATTTATGCCCTGCTGATCTTACTCAGTCTTTCAGTGGCCTTTGATACAGTTGAACATGGGGTGCTGATAAACAATATATATGACTGCATAGTCCGACTGTTCTAAATTGGTTCTGCTTTTTACTAAAGGGGAAGTCCCAGAGGATGGTGAGCGTAATCACCTCTATACCTTTCCTGTGGGATCCTATGGGGTCTTGTTGCCCCTCATGTTCAATTTGTATATGCGACTCCTGGGAGAGACAGCCTGGAGTTTTGCAGTGGGATGCCATCAGCACATTAATGAAACATCTCTCCTCATCTGACCCTGGCCTCTCAGTCTTAGTTCTTTTCAAGTGCCTGGCAGCACCAGATGTGGGGGAACCAGTTGAAACTGAATCCAACAAGACAGAGGTGATGATGATTATAACAGTTTGACTTGATGCGGGGACTGGAACACCTATCATTGAGGAGGTTCAGCCTTCCCTTGGCACTCAGGTTCACAGGCTTAGGATGCTCCTGATTCCTCTGCTGCACTTGGATCTTCAGCTGGCAGCAGCTACTACGAAGGAGCACCTTTTAACAGCTCCATCTGGTTAGGAGGCTGTGACCCTTTCTTTCAGATTCAGATCTGGCCACCATCAGACATGCCTTTGTCAACTCAAGGCTAAACTATTGTATTTTAATAATTGGAAGCTTTATGCCTAAATTTAACTATTCTGCATTCCATTTTTGGACACAAAGGGCCTAATTCCTTAATACTGTGTCACACTGTGCAGTCAGGTACACCAGAGCAATGAGAGAGAAACCACTGTCATTCTGTTGTGGGAATATTTTGCATATCCTTTGCACAGATGTTAAAGACTCCATAAGGTGCAGGATAATGGAGAGACAGTTAGGAGCACCTCTCTTTTTTAACAGTCTCCCTGAGCTCTCCATTGCACATCTCTCCTAAGACTTAGTTTGAATGAAGTTTATGGAAGTTAAACACGTGAGCTTCAGGTTTATCAAAAAATGTTCTTTAGGTTTCAGTTTTTTCACCTGCTTCAGTGCATCTGGAATCTCACATTTGCTCTTCTGTTAACACAGTCCCAGCTCTTATCTGTTAACAGAGTAGACTTTCACTCTGGCAAAGCTTCCAGTTTGTGTCCTTTCCGCTACTCCTCACGTGGGAAACAAATGAAAAATTCATCCAACTTGTGCCTGTTCTTACAATACTATTCAGTAGCATTGTGAATTCTGTTTCATGTGCTCCAGAGGGCCTTACATTACTTACTGATCTCTTAGCTATAACTTGTGACATACGGTATTTCCAGATGCCAGGCACGAGTGGTTGGTAACAACAGCAAACCTTGATGTGTTGCTATATGTGTCTTGCCTTGTCTTGTTCACAAATGGCCTCATTAACCTTTTTTAAAGGACTATAGGACTGAAGGGAATCAGTCATTGAGTCTAGTCCCCTGTAATGCATGAAACCATGTCATATAGTCCCTTTCATAAACTGACCAAACTCCACCTTAAAAGTAGTTACCTTTCTTGACTTTTTTTGAAGGCTGTTCCAGAACTTAACTTCTCTGATCATTAGAAACCTATTCTAATTTATTCTAATTGTTTATACCTTCAATGATGAGGAGGCACGTTGACAAACAGGGATTTTAGTGAATAATATTCTGCAACAGGAGAGTTGTTAAACTTCTGAAGTAGGCAATTTTAGAAACAGCAGTGTCAATGACATCATTGAGCAGATACCCCTCCTTTGGGGTAGTGGATGGGTCGGTATCGACCTGGAAGGGTGTGGGCAGTGGAGTCCCGCAGGGCTCGGTCCTAGGACCGATACTCTTCAATGTCTTCATCAGCGACTTGGACGAGGGAGTGAAATGTACTCTGTCCAAGTTTGCGGATGACACAAAACTGTGGGAAGAAGCGGACACGCCGGAGGGCAGGGAACAAGTACAAGCAGACCTGGACAGGCTGGACAAATGGGCACAAAACAACAGAATGCAATTCAACAAGGAGACATCCGAAAAAACTACTTCACAGTCAGGGCGGCTAGGAGCTGGAACCAACTTCCAAGGGAGGTGGTGCTGGCCCCTACCCTGGGGATCTTCAAGAAGAGGCTGGATACTTACCTGGCTGGACTCATTTGAGTCCCGTTTTTGTTTTTAGGGTGAGTGGTTTTGTTTGTTTGTTTTTTTTTTTGGGTTGTTCTCCCGCCCTGGCGGGGGGTCGGGCTAGAAGATCTATTAGGTCCCTTCCGACCCTGAAACTATGAAACTATGAAATACAAAGTGCTGCACCTAGGGAGGAAAAATGTCCAGCATACCTACCACCTAGGAAATGACCTGTTTGGAGGCACGGAAGCGGAAAGGGATCTTGGAGTCCTAGTGGACTCCAAGACGAACATGAGTCGGCAGTGTGACGAAGCCATCAGAAAAACTAACGGCACTTTATTGTGCATCAGCAGATGCATGATGAACAGATCCAAGGAGGTGATAATTCCCCTCTATCGGGCGCTGGTCAGACCGCAGTTGGAGTACTGCATGCAATTCTGGGCACCGCACTTCAAGAGGGATGCGGATAACATGGAGAGGGTCCAGAGAAGGGCCACTCGTATGGTTAAGGGCTTGCAGACCAAGCCCTAAGAGGAGAGATTGGGGCACCTGGACCTCTTCAGCCTCCGCAAGAGAAGGTTGAGAGGCGACCTTGTGGCTGCCTATAAGTTCATCACGGGGGCACAGAAGGGAATTGGTGAGTATTTATTCACCAAGGCGCCCCCGGGGGTTACAAGAAATAATGGCCACAAGCTAGCAGAGAGCAGATTTAGACTGGACATTAGGAAGAACTTCTTCACAGTTCGAGTGGCCAAGGTCTGGAACGGGCTCCCAAGGGAGGTGGTGCTCTCCCCTACCCTGGGGGTCTTCAAGAGGAGGTTAGATAGGCATCTAGCTGGGGTCATCTAGACCCAGCACTCATTCCTGCCTATGCAGGGGGTCGGACTCGATGATCTATTGAGGTCCCTTCTGACCCTAACATCTATGAATCTATGAATCTTTGCAAAGGGCATCACAGAATACTCTCTGAGGCCATCTTGGTATGGAAGCATACAGTTCCTCTCTTATTTTTGAAGCATAGGTGAAAGGTGCCAGATTGAACTCTAGGGAGTGAGGTCGTAAATCAGGATTGTCAAAAATATGGCCATATCATCCAGTCCCCAGTGCTGCCTGTGGTCTCAGAGTGACCCATAGGCAGCATGCAAAGTATGCTGAATGGCCATGCAAAGGTCCGCAGAGTGGTGGAGTGACTGCCACATGCAGCACAACCTCAGAGCAGCCAAATGTAGCTCCCGACCACTCTGGGACAGTATTGCACAGCCCTGTGACAGGGGGGAGCTCCAAGTTGATGTGGCAAAACCCCATGGTGGCAGCTCTGGGGCCATGTGCTGACAGTCCTGCGGTGACCACCAGGACCAGAATGTGGGGCCAATCTGTGGGTCTGGCCTGAACCATGGACTGGCCCCATACCATTCATGTGCCCTGTGGGGCTGAATGAGTTTGATACCCCTATCCTAAATTTATGGCTGGTTAATTGCGGACTGGAGTTCCCACATGCCTGCCAACATGATCTGGGGAGACCAATTTCAAAAGATTTGCCCATACCATAACAGTGGCCTAGCCCAGACAAGACAGGCCCCTACTATACCCACTTGGGCTGACAGGGGTACTCAAACCTGGACATTGTTGCCCATAAAGGGTCTAAAAATAAAGCTGTTTACTGACCATAGTTTACAGAATATATACTTTAGTGATGGTAAAAGCTAGGTTAAATTGAAGTCAAGGTAGGCTTGAAATTCTAAATAATAAAGGCAAAAGTATTAATAATTAGACTGTTATGAAGTAAAAGTAGAGAAAAGTTATTAAAACACAGGGAAGTTCATAACTCATTTGGGGTTTCTTGACAAATGAAAAAAA